GTTTCTAACAGCTGCTAACTCGCTGCTAACAGCTGCTAAGAGTTTCTAACAGCTGCTAAGAGTTTCTAACAGCTGCTAACCACTGCTAACAGCTGCTAAGAGTTTCTAACAGCTGCTAACCACTGCTAACAGTTTCTAACAGCTGCTAACCACTGCTAACAGCTGCTAAGAGTTTCTAACCATTGCTAACTGCAGCTAACTGCTCACAGAACCAGCCGGGTTTCAGCAGAACCACATCAGATGGAACCTGGCTGGTTCTGAATCCTCTGCTGCGGTTCCACAGGGCGCAGCCTTTGCTCCCCTCATTTTTGCTCCGTTTGGGTTCCATACTCAGGGATCATGCCGTCTGCTTGGTTGCTATGGTAATAGCAGTCAGACATTCATTCAGAAAAAGCGATCAAACCTACTGGTGGGCCGGAAGAGCTTCAGATGCTGACAACACACACTGTGTGTTTCAGGATGACAGCTGCTGCAAGCGACTCTCTTCTTCCTCTGCAGACTCTGCAGCCAACACCTCACCAAGTGGTAACTACCACACACACACACACACACACACACACTTCCTGCCCACAAAAGGGGTTGTGAGTGACATCACGTCCTCTCAGCTACCACTTCCTGTGTTTGGGGACTGCTGCCCTCTGCTGGCAGTGACTTCAGCAGGTAGGTATACAAGAACCGGTGATATGGATTAACTGGTGGCTAAATTAACTGGTTGAAACCTATGCACACCGCAGATGTTTCTAAATTGTAGGTGGCTGCATCAATGCCTGTTGACAATGCTAACTACAAAACTTTGCTGTAAATCCCATTTGACGCAAATATGTTTAATGTTGCATGTGAAAAATTATGTTTCTAAATAATTGTCTATAGAGCATGCAGTGCGCTTCGTCAACACCTTATTTGAGCATAACCAGATCAATGAGAAACACGACAATCCCATTCACGTTCAAGTTCACCCGAATAAATTAAACTCATGAATAGCCGCAATGTAAACCTAAGTGGACAGTTTCTGCTTTTTGTAACCAACACTGATCAGAATAACATGGGGTTGGCTCCCAAGTACCTGCAGTGTGAGCTGCTTGTTAACACTTCTAGCCTAGTGTGTGTTTGGCTCAGATCCTGTAATGCAATCGCGCTGTTTCTGAACTTTTTTATTTTTTTAGCGACACTACCCATAGTAAATGTGGTAAATGAGGTTGGTGTCATAATCTTTAATAAAATTAAAATCACATACCTGATGGTGTTGCTTGTGGTATTTACGTGTCCAAATAGAGAGGAATATCAAGTAATGTCGATAAGTTGTACTGCAATCAAATCTCATCTAAATGATGTTGACAGCCAGTGCTGCAGCTGGTGGTGATATCCAAACGGATAATAATAATAAACGTTCCTACATTACTGTCAGATGCCACCAGCAGACTATGAGCCATATCTGCAGTATTTGTCCGTGTGTTCTCTACTGGGAAACAGTTTGGAGGCTGTAGACGATGGAAAATAAACTTAAAAAAACAATCGAGCTGCACTGTCACTAGATTAACTAGTGACATTCAAACGGGGTCCTCAATGCAGATGTTTGTAAAACATTAGGTGGCTTTGTCATTTCCTGATCAAAACATGACAGATGAAATGTGTCAACTTTCTCTAAGACCTCTGCAAAACATAATTATTTATATGTAAAGGAATATTCTAGAATATATTGAAATATAATCAAAAATATACTTCAAAATAGACTGTACTAAACAGAGTTTCACTCAGCATTGTTAAAATAATGACCATTATTTCACGTCTTCTCACTTATATTGACTGACATGTTCTTTAAGCTTATTACATTGTTTACATCATAGACATAAATACGCAGGGCCGTGCAGACACCACTAAAAGGGCAGGTGCTCAAAAAAAAGGGGCCCATCTTACCGCATTCTAAGACAGAATATTAACAAAGCCACACAGCTTTCAGAGTTTAATAAACAATGATAAATTACAAAACTGTAAGATATACAATCAAAGCTAAGGAAAATCTCTATATAGGGCATACAACTATGCATATGTAAGATATTTTATTAGTAATTTCTTTCTGCAGGTCTATTTTGTTATA